TGTATATATTTCCACTGATGACATGTATTGTTTTAACTGCAAAGAAACAGGACATATTCGTGTAAATTGTCCCGTTAATGAACCCGGAAAGATTACAAGTGTTGATGTAAACACTGACAATAATAAAATCACAACATATAACACTCCAATGAAAACTAATATTAATGAAAATTACAACAATGAAAATGATATCAATATTGGCAATACAATTGTAGATCAAATAATTGATAATATTACCGACAATACAACTCGATAAACTAATGAAACTCTTAGACGATATCAAAGGATATACTAGTATTAGATAAAATTAATTACTTTACTTATATGAACGCAATTATTATCACCGAGGCATGCCGCATTTATGATATCCCTGGGGAAATGAATAAACATCCATAGTTAAAAGTTCGAAAATGTGAATAAACATTTCATAAATTGCTGTTAAATTACCGTAGTGTTACACCAAGTATGTACAGGTCATAGGCCAACTTTAGGAGGTACTTGTGCAAGCGATATCGATATTATCAAAACTATCAAAATGCAGTAAGTAATCTTTAATTAATTATCATTATTGTTTCAAGCAATGCGATATTCGAATCAATATATTCCCAAACTTGAGTTTAAACAGTTATCCCGTACTTAACGAAATGAATGGAGGCCCTGCACATATCAATGAGATACACAACTGCCGACCCTGGCTATATCACTTACACTTTCCACACGCTTTGTAAAGGAGTAACAATATAATCATAATTTTATGTTTGTTTAGGAAAACTTCCGGTTCCATTCTTTCCTCACAAATCAAAAAAGTCATTATTCGGTTCAAGTTGTTATTGCTTCTTCAACGAGTATGCCACATGTCCACACACTCCCGATAGTATAATTCAATCTGAATGAGCGTGCGCACGACACAAGTTACCAGTTATTTGAACACGCAACATACATTAACGTCAACTGTCGTTTACGAAAGTTATCTCAAGATATTTGCAAAGAAGTAGCAAACCGATTTATTGTTCAATATTTGTTTTCATATTGTATTTATTGTTTTAATTAAATTTCTAAATAACAATTGAATGATTTTGTATTATTATAGGCTTAGATGAGCTCGTTTAAATAAGGCACAAATTCGCACAGGTGCGTGGTAATCACCATATTGAAATTCAACACTGAGGCTCCACCAATAGAATATGAGCTGTAAAAGAAATTGAATCTAATGATTAGATCACAGGGAATTAATACCTTTTTAGCGCAGCGTCATCCAGCTTACTAACTCGAACATTTATCGCTACATGCACAGTATGACTTGCTGACAAATGTGACGTGTGTGAGCATTTTTTACAATAAATATGCTGCATACAGTCGATAATAAATAATGTGTACATTATAGATGCATACCGTGGACGGTATACTAAAGTGTCCTGTATGTAATCGGATGTTTTAGGTTGAAACAAATATTGAATGTGTGTTTGTTTTCTGAAGTGTTCCAAAATAAAACAGTTTCAATGAAAAGTGCTTTAGTTTGTACACTTATGAAATGCATAGTCGTGTGTTTTACCTTGAAACATTACACGTGTGTTTCTTTTAGAAAGTGTTTCATGATAAAACAATTTAACAATTTGGAAGAAAAGTGTTTTAGTGTTTTACACTCATGAACACTAATGAGTTTTATACATTAACACTTTGCGAAAAATTTATAAGCTGGTTTTTTTGTTGAAAGATCGTTGGTAATATTGCTTTCTGAAGTGTTTCAAATTGAAAATTTTTGGAGAGAAATCACGTGTTTAAATCACATGTGAGAATGCTCAGATGTGATTGGAACTACATCTATCGTTCACCAAATGCGGATTTATAAAATCCGTTATGCCGCCATGTGTCTCTATTCCTAGTTGTACTTTGTTTGGTAATACCATATACGTTAGTGCTTGACATAACATTATTTTCTGGAGGTCACTTTCGGTGACTGTCTAGTTGGCATATATACCATAATGCCTACTCACGCGTCCCCAGGCTTTTCACTCAATTTTGTTAATACTGTTTGCATAAAGTTGGATGCATTAGCCCATAAATTCTCTATAAATAAACACTTTAATGTAATTTATCGCACCGTAAAACACTCAGTGTTTTATTTTGAAAAAGTTTATTTTAGTGTGTTTACAATGTGTTTAGCTTTCATCAAAAAATGTTTTAAATAACTCCCTAAAACACTTTTCTAAAAATACTAAAACACTACTGATTTGATAGAAAATTCAAGTGTTTTATTATATGTTTACATGTTTTTAGCTACAACAGTGTGCTTTCAATTAAAATAGTGTGTTATATTGAAAACGTGAAAGTGCTTCCGAGATTTACAGTGTATTATCATAAAGCCTCACATGACTTGAACAAAAAGGGAACTCATTTTCATACATGTCTTTATGTCAATACTAATATTATCACATTATTTACTTTTTTCGCATTATTATTGATTAATGTGTCATTATCTGCTTATTCGGTGTTTATGAAACAATTTCAAAATAATGAAATATTTGGAAGATAATAAACATAGTGATGAAATAATAGCGAAATAATTGCAAGATAATGAAAGTATATTGAAGGAATAATTGAAAGATATTGAAAGTATATTGAAGAAATAATTGAAAGATATTGAAATAATTCTATTTTGGCGGCGATCTCACTCAATGGACTTAACCAAACACATGTAAACATGTAAACATGTGCTTGACATGGTATTATATGCTAAACATCTACCAGCATGGCTGAATTGGCTACACACTTGTTAGATAGGAGAACTTTGCGTCTGATTCAATCGCAATGGCTGAAGATATATATCAATTTCTACACATAGATTCACCATTTGAAGTGAAATCTTGGATACAAAAATAAACTATGCACGGGGAATTTAGTAAAGGACGTCTGAGGAAAAGAGGGAACTCAGCTGCAACAGTAGAGTCGTGGAGGCATGTGCTACTCAGAGGTAGAGTTAATTCAATCTCTGTGTTACTATCAAAATAATGTTATATAAAATGCTGTGTTCATAAATCCAATTACAAAAATTACAATTACAATTCTTCAAAGTATTCCGAGGAGACACTTCTCTGACGTTTCCATAGGGTGTTTTGTTAGTAGACAGTAATAAAGGGAAAATATTCCTGAACATGTTTTTTTGAAAGGTAGCAAGGTCGTAGACAATTACGGGAAATGTTAGTTTAATCACTAAATTAGTGCAACGTTATGTTTAACGTTATTTATTTATTTTTTGGAATAAATGTAATAAGATACGGAATAAGAAATGCTTGATACATGTATATATAAATAATTTAGCTAGTTTGTAACAACAATGTTACGGAATGTTGTGTGTACGAAAAACATTGCGTAGCCAATGCATATTATATAGTTATAGTGTAAGCACCAGCATAACATGAATGAGATATTTACCACAATTACCGAACAATGTTTATGTTTACAACTAACTCAATGTCTGTCTTACAGTTTTTGTTAAGGCGCAACTTAAATGACGTAATATGAAGACCTAACTGTCCCCGTCAGATAATATGGATTGTTTGTGTACACATTCTATTATCATATTTTGTTGTACCATTTGGCTATGCAGTGCGGCAAATACATATATTCCCAGAGCACTTTTCGTAATTCACAAACTAGCTGTATGTTAATCACAATATATGTGTCGTATTTAGTGAAATTATCCAAGTAAGCGACTTATGATCTATGTTTCTTTTCTGACCTGATGCAATAGCATGTGTGTGGTCATAGCGAGGATTTTCAGGAATTAAACCATAGCCAAATTTACGAAACCAATCCATCTCATCGATGCCGTTATCCACTTGTGTCCAATCACAAAACCCATTCTGAAAGTCACATTGAATGTAACTGCCTGTAAGAAATGACGAGAATGATGGGTTGTGTCACTGTGGAACTACACACATTCACATGTAATAAAGTTTTCAATAAACAATGTCATGCTGTGCCATTTGTTATACAACTAATACATTAGGTGTGAAATTACTTGGAAACCAGAAAGATATTTTTACCTATATTTATAGATTTCAACAGCTTATATCAGTTAATTTCAGCCAAAATTATATTCAGGAGAAATATCTATATTTCAAATATATGACTGGTGTTTCATAGCAATCCTTGAAGTTGGGTTTAGCACTTTCAGGCAGACTAAGGATGTCCCGCCAAACAGTGTCAAGTTTTTGTGGGTGTTGTGTTATTAACTGGACACGTATCAGATATTTATAGATTGCGCATTTTTTAAACTTATATAGTGGCAAATTTAGTCATCAAAAAATGCAGTTCAAATCTATGGTGTGAAAGAGGTTGATTACACTTCCCGTTCCCTTTGAAGTAGGTGTTGATAGTATCTTTCCATTTGGTAGGAATAGAATCGTGAATGACCTTGATACTGAGATGGAGAATACGCTCCGAATGGATTTTAATTTTATTCGACACATCAGCGGCCTCCAACCAAGTTTTATTCGTTTCTGATACCAAATCACATTCTTTGGTTATTCCCGCGTCAACAAAGTGTCTGAGCGCAAAAGGCTCATTTCTTATGGGATGTATGATGAATGGGTTGTTAAACAGTGGCTCATTAAGAATATCAGTTACGTTATTATCATTGAATTTACGCACTGTATCTACAGATTTCCAACACTGGAGGAGCTCACAATAAAATAATGGCAATCTTTGTAAAGGTGCTTGGATAGTGGTGCATAGAAGTTGACTTGCATATGACATATTGTTCGCTTGCATAAAAAAGTAGTCTGTAAACTTAAAACAGGGGTGGTCATGATTATTATATAGATATCTTTGAATATAGGAAAGTCGCATGGTACGTATGCGTGTTGGAAGATGTGTATCATTTTGTCACACCTCTTTCCAAGGGGAGGTACAGTGTTGCGGCAGATACCCAATGTCGGCCTTGCCAAAAGAAGTCGAGCAGCATTTTCTGTACCTTCAGAACTACGTCCGATGGCGGCACAAGGCGATACATTAACTGCGATGAAATCAGATTATTAATAATAAGAGCGCACGCTCTGTATGACATGCTGTGAACAAAGTGATTCCAGAAGTTGATCTTATTATTTACTTTTGCAACAAGTTCAGCCCAGTTCTGATTCGTATAAGTTAGATTATTCCCAAGATAAACACTCAACAGTTTCAACCCCTCACTGTTCCATTTGATATTGAGAGGGAAGTAGGTAATGTTGCGCCAGCTACCTACCCATAACCCTTCTGATTTTTGGAGATTGATTTTAGAGTTTTACGCAAGCTCATAGACATGTAATCAGCGACTTAGTAAGTTGAAATCCTGCTTGTGAGTTATGAAAAATTCCACGTCGTCAGCGTAAGCAGTTAGTTTAGAATGTTGGTTTTTGCTGTGAGGTATAACCAACCCTTCAATGTTTTCATCATTCCTTATTTTATGAAGTAGTGGTTCAATGGCAATGGGGTAGAGGGCAGTGCAGGATAGGGGGAGCACATTTTCGTTTGTGGCAGCAGTAAATACATCGCACAGATCACTTCCAATGATATGCCAAAACGTTTGGTAAAATTCGTTTGGTATTCCGTCGATACCGGGAGTACGCCCATGGGGAAGTAGTTGGACCGTGGCACTCAGTTCGTCAAACGTGATTGGTTTGTCATGGTCATCACGATCTGTTTCATTTAGTTTCGGTAGACCTTCAAGGAGGCTATTTTGAGCTTCAATGTCAATGTTATCAGTTGTATACAGGTTATTGTAAAAGGTGTGTATGATTTTCCGTATTTCAGTTTGATTTTCAGAGAGTGCTATCCTGGTGCCTCAACTGAAAGATCGCCTTTTTGGTCACCTTCTTTTTCTCTAACTGAAAGAAGAAGGAATTGCAAACATCACTTTCATTTAAAAACTGATGTCGCGCACGCGTAGCACTGCCTTTGTGTTCACGTTGAACAAGGCGTGCGGGAAGTTTTTTTTTTCTTTTCAGTGTAACTGTTTAAGAGCGGTGCATCGTGTGCAGTACAACGTTCGATGGTTTTAATTTCCATTTCCAATGCTTGTTTTTCGGTTTTGTATTTATTTTGTTTGAGT